AGATGACTATGTCAAAACCGAAAGCAGCACATTTCTATTAACTAGATCGAGAGGAGAGTAAGTTCATCTGACTTTGTTACGAAAGAGGAGAGTAAGTTTCTTTCGACTCAAAAATGGTTAAAGGCGAGTATGTTCATTTTTGGCGGTTTTCCACGGTTTCCGCGGAACTGATAAGAGATAACAACTTGGTGTCTTCGGCAAAGTTGTAGCACTTGAGGTCTTTTATAACATTGCTGAAGTCAATTATCTCTTATCTCTTATCAGTTCCGCGAAAAGCGCGAAAAATGATAAGAAAAAAAAAGTTCTATATAAAATTTGCTTTTTTATGTGCGCAATTTGCGCGCAACTGATAAGAGATAAGAGATAGATGTCTTCAGCAATGTTATAGAAGACCTCGAGTACTACAACTTTGCCGAAGACACCATGTTGTTATCTTTTATCAGTTCCGCGGAAACCGTGGAAAACCGCGGAGGCTAGACGGGATCCCAACATACTTCCTTTTAACGCAGATAGAATCAACAGAAATCATACTCTCCTCTTTCAAAATATATTCGAATTTTTTCACATACTCTCCTCTCGATCTAGTCAATAGATTTGTGGAAAAATTCATCCTGTTTGTTACCCAAGCTGCGAATGTTTTGGTAGTAGACACTGAGGCGTGTCGCGTCGGGTGTGTGCATCTTGGGGTTTAACGGAATCGTCTGTTGCCCACGCGATTTACGAAACGGTTTTGCTGTTGCTCGGAAGTTGCTGCGCGGCAGTGACTTGGGCGCTGAGCAAATGGATTGAACCAATGGTTCACATTCGGTGTCGTCGGTGCCTGTGTATAGGCTGTTTGTGTTGCCATTTGGGTGCATCCCGTTTTTTGACTGCCGTTTTGAATTGACATGTGGTGCACTGATGGACGAGGGAGGTTTTGGTTTGTCAACGAATCCACAGGCCTTAACTGAACTCGGCCATATCGACGGGTTAATAACGCGTTCAAAGTATTGACGTGGAAAATTCAGTTTGAACGAGATGAATTTGTAGCTTGAAATGGGCCGGTCACCACATGTCAATCTTTTGCATCGAATCTCATTGACATAGAGAAGCGTGAGATGTGAACGCTCTTCGTCAGATTGGATGGCAGTAGAACTGACGGAACAATTTTCCTATGTAAATTGCTGACCTGTGGTAACGGAACCGTTTTGGCGTGTAAATTGCTGGCTTGAATGCGTGTGGTATTTTTCATAGTCGGTTTGCGAGCCGGAGCGTGAACCAAATTGCGTAAATTCATTGCATTTTGATGAACTGATGGTGTCGAGACAGTTTCATCAACAGCGTTATCAACACGCGACATACCTGGATCGTCGGATGATGTGAGGCACGTTCGTTTCACCGTTAGAGGTGTCAACGGACAAAATTTTGTCCGTCCGTCCGAAAACCAAAAATTTTTTTCGGGCGTCCGGTCCGAATGTCCGAATATTTTTCGGACGTCCGAAATATTTTTTATTAAAAAAATCAAAAGAAAATTGGATAAGAATACGCAGCGTATTCTTCTTCAGCGACATTTTTGCATTTTTTGGTTGGAAAACTCTCGGAAAAGCACTACTGTGGGAAATTGGGAAATCGTGGAAAGTTCAAACCAGACAACTTTTTTCCGAGAGTTTTCCAACCAAAAAATGCAAAAATGACGCTGAAGAAGAATACGCTGCGTATTCTTACCCAATTTTCTTTTGATTTTTCTAATAAAAAAAATTTTAGACGTCCGAGAAATTTCAAAAAGTTCGGGCAAAACCCTAGGGGGATTTAACTACGTGAAAACTTGTAAAAAAATGATATAAACGCGCACGAAATTGTTACATTCACCAGAGAACTTGCATGATTCCACTCAGTTGACAAGTTCCGTATTAAAACAACATGCGCGAACGCGCGCGAGTTCGTGTGCAAACTTGTAGCTGGACGACGCGCACACATCAGTCGTTCCATTTATTATATCTGGATTAACTTTTTCTTCAACACTTTCTCCAGCTCTTTAAAAATATTTCCTTTGTCCATTTTATAATTATATAAATCTTTGAACTTTTGGAAAGGATGTGAAAAATCTTTATACACGTAAACAACCGATTTTTAGCTTGAAACGCGTTTTAATTGTCAAATAACAACTTGAAAAACGCGCAAAACCATAAACAAACTTGTGTAAACTTGTGACCGTGCGCGTCAGTACGTACAAGGAACGCGTCGAACTCCCGCGAATCAAGCAAACTGGCAAAAAACATGCTGAACTCGTAAGAGTTAAATTCCCCTAGGAAAATGTGCTACGCACATTAATATATAGTTTATCGAAAATACGTAGAAAAACCCATTGGTCGGCTTATGGGAACCGATTGTCCCAAGGTAAATCATGAAAAAACCGAAAATTACACGTACAGTTTTCACAGTTTTTGTGGCTTGCATGGCGTGAATAGTCCTAACACAAACTATGATAAACAGTTTTTTACGTTTCAATCGGCTGTTCTGAAATTTAATACTATCAGTGGTTCAAGATGCAAAATTTTGCTATTTTTCCATACAAAATTCACCAAAATTCAAATTGATTCATATTAACGGCCTTAAATTTCAGAACAGCCGATTGAAACGTAAACAAACCGTTTATCATAGTTTGTGTTAGGACTATTCACGCCATCCAAGCCACAAAAACTGTGGAATTATCCATTTTTAAAAGTTTAAATTCGAGAAAAACTGTTTTTCTCTCCATACAAATGTTCCATTTCTTTTGACCCGTAATTTTCGTTTTTTTCATGATTTACCTTGAAATATCGGTTCCCATAAGCCGACCAATGAGTTTTTCTACGTTTTTTGATAATATTATTTGATTTTCTTCGGTTTATTTGGAATAAATTTCGGACTACCGAAATTTCTTGAAAAAACATGGTGTGCCATAACTTTTGACGCTGACTGTAGATATTTACATACATTTGGTATTGCATGATAGAAACGAATTTTGTAGATAAAATGGTTTTCCCCTAGTTATCGTCATTGTAAATATTTACTCGTAGATAACATATAAATGATACGCGTGTAAATTTTTGTAAGAGGGAAAAAAGATGAACAATCGAAAAAAAACTTTCTCTTTTGGTGTGCCGATCGTTTTTTTTCTCTTCCATCATCATCATCTTTTGTATTGAAACCTATTGCAATCTATCTAATTCATTCATTCAATTTACACGAAGTTACAGCAAAACACACAGAAGTGATGGAAACAACAAGCAAAGTGAGAGAGAGATAGGTAGACAGAAAAAAGCAATATGCGCCTATAAGGAATGTTAATTTCTAAACGTAGATTAGATTGGATGTTATATCAACATTCACAAAACACGGTAAAACTTTTATGCACAGTCGATTGGTAAGGGCTTAGCGCTACCATTTTTTTTCTTGGCTGGTGTGTATGGGTGTATCTTGCTTTTACAACCGATTGCCGACTGCAATGTAATGAACCATATTGAACGTTTAAAGTATTCATAGTTCCTTTTGCCACTTTACTAGTTACACTTGAAGAGACTCTTGCATGTGCGCCTCGCCATCAATGTTGTGTTGAACGTAACGTTAGCGTATCGAACTTATAATATTTTTCTCATAATGCTGCTGCAGTTGCTGTGTGATGCAATCGTCAAAAATTAACGAACGTCTGCCAGTGCATTTCAACTTTCAACGTTGTAATCCTGGTTCTCTCTCTTTCTCTCTCTCTCTCTCTGTGTGTGTGTGTATGTGTTTCTATCTTGCTACCGATCTCACTCCATCCACCAGCAAATTTCAATCATTTCAAATGCAGTTTTATCTTTCGAATATTTGTAGCTTGGCTGCTGTTGTCGTCGTTGCAGCAGCAGCAGCAGTTTTCGATTTTGTAACCGTGCTGTGTGTGCAATGCATGCGCAACTGTTCATTTGGTGTGGAAGATTACCTGTTCGAAGACGAAACAACAAGTAAAACAAAAAATTGGCATATACGCAAGTTGAAAGTGTCATGAGACATAAATACCAAATGCATGCAATAGTTGCTTTTTACCATGCGCGGAATCATCGTCGTTCGTTTCCCATTTCATGTACACATACGGCTGGCTTTCTGGTGTATTATTTGCATTTTCATATGCGGAATGTGCAATGTGCATACACACCAGCACACATATTTTTCGGTTTGTCACAGCAAAGAAAAGCATTTACGGCCTGGTTGACATGAATTCAAAACGTGTGCATCAAGTGTTTCGAAAGAAGCAGGAGAGAGAAAGAGAGAGAGAGAGAGAGAGAAGAAAAAAAACTTTATCAGGAATTTAAACTGGCATCAAAGCATTTGAAAAGCGCGAGCGTCAATCAAGAGCCTGATCTGCGGAAATATAGAAAAAAACAAAAAATATGCATTATCTTACGTAATGCTCAAGTACACTGCCGCAAACACATCGATTGAAAGTGAAGTTGGGAAAAGTGCCGATGATAAATTACTATATGCGAGCAAATGAGTGCAGGTCGTTGGATGGCTTGTTTTCTTTTTCTTCTTCTTTAGGTCGGCGTGTACCGCAATGTATCCTTCGTTTGTGGGCCACAAATTGTGGCATTTTAAGTTAAAACAAAAAATATAGAAAAAAATTATGTGGGTAAACAGAATTTTTTTGCCTTGGATATTGGAGTACAATTTTGGCGTTGTCATCATGTTCCCCGCATTTCTCTACTTGGCCCGTCGTGTGTATGTACTCCATGGAGCCGCCCGATAGTTGTTGTTATTGTTTTTTTTAATTGGTACTTTTGAGTTCGGACTCATTTGAGCGACTCATATCTATCGAGCGAAAATCGTTCAAACACTCTCGCTAATTGCTTTTGCAAAGATGGCGATTGTCTGTCGATTTCTTCATTTGACAAACATTCTGAAAACCATTTTGTTTTCTCTCCACCGTTTTTCCTTCGATGTAAGAAAAGCATTTGCGCCGAGTATAATTATTATTTTCACTTCGTTTGTTTCTATATTAACAGATAAATACGGATCAGCTGTGGCGTGCCCATTAATCGAAAATGCGTTGAAAAGTCAAAACAGTAAAAGGAAAAGAAAGAAAAAACCAAAGTGTGACAAAAGCGATTCATCGATCAAAAGTAACAACAACAGTACAATCTATCGATCGATACGTACGCTGATCGATAGCAAACAGGGAAGAAAAGAGAAAAAGGCGAATAAAAAAACGAACGAGTGATCGCGAGCACAAAGTGACGAACGCACGTGTTTACCAAACGCTAGTTGATACATTGAGAAGAAAGCTTTTACTATTCGACACCGTTTGTTGATTTTCTTTTCTGTGTTGCTGCTGTTGTATGTTTGTTGCCGTTGCTTTAGGAACTGTTGTTCATCTGTTTAAATTTGGTTTGATTGCTTTATCGCATTTTGATTGTTTTATAAGGCAACAAGACCCGTTGCTGTTGCTGCTGCTACATTGTTATCATCTTCAGCATATTTGTGTGTATTGTGATTATGTTCAATCCAAACGAACGGTGCTACAATCTACTAACATAGATATAGATAGATACAGCGAACGGTTCAATATCAGTCAGTACATTTTCTATTTTCTCTCATTTTCCAGACGTGAAAATCAGAGAGAGAAAAAGAAAGAAGGAAAAAAATCAATTTGTTTTAACATAAACAACGATATTACGAAAAATCGAAAAATAACCGAAATTGTGTGTAACTTGTGCGGCTTCGGTTTTATTCAAATGCATTTTTTGTTTCCATCGGCTGCTGCTACATCGCACTGCACGCAATTTTATTGAATGGGAGCGAATTGAGGATCGAACAGCGTCTTCAGTTCAAATTACGAACAAAAGAAGTTTCCATCTAAAAAAGAAATAAAAATTGCCTCATTGTGCGCTTCGTTAACGCTGCCTCCGAAACGAAATGAACTGAACAGACACAGGGACTATGCTTAAAACAAAAAATTAATCACTTTGTTAAATTGACGCAAAAGAAGACAAAAAAAAAAAAACAAAAAATAAAACACGACAACATAGACGAGAAACAAAGCTTATGATAGTAGAGAGCGGATGAATAATCATGCGGAAAGTGGAAAATATGTGCTAAAATCTGAATGAAAAAAAAAAACAAAACATCGAAATAAAACAAAAACCACTCACAAACGAAGTGAATTCAAAACAAAAATTAAGTGTAAATGATTTATAAAAGTTAAGGTTATTTCAATCAAATGCGTGAACTTTTTAGTGATTTTTAAAAGAAAAGTGTTTCAGTGTAGTAAAAATTTCGAAAGGGGGCGCGTGGACAGTTACTAATTTATTTTGTGTGCTCAGTGATAATTAATTACAATCTTCTTTGGAGCGTTCAAAGAAGTGTTATTCATCTCCACACAAACAAAAAAACCAATAAAAAAAATACACACGCAATTTCAAACTGACCAAACGAAACGCGTTTTTATTTCTTCAAGCCATTTCGTGTACGAATTCGTTTTCGCAATTAAAAATGTATAAATCAAACGATATCAAGCATTTCCGATTAACGCTGACTGTGTTAGTTTTAAGCTATATTCCATTGATCAGTGCGCACGTTGCATTGACTTATCCACCAGCACGAAAGTATGATTTGGATTTTTTGGATAATTCACGAACGAAAGGACCATGCGGCATGCCAAAAGGTAAATCTCAATGAAATATTTCCTTTTATTACTCTTCCCATGCCAATTTAAATTGAGGGTTTTGTTTCTGGTTCGTCTTCTATCAAATAACAATCGAATTAAGCATGAAATTCTCCGTCATCTCAGTCAGTGTTTCTTTATACTTGGCTTTGATACATAACTCACGACAATCAAGCGATTATTTTCGTTGCATGATTCCACCGCAAAGATGTTGCAATATTGACGGATTAATTGCTCATTTCTCGGATTGTTATAGTCGCTTTGTTGTCGTTTTCAGCCCTACATGGAATGTAGGCTACTGTAGTTGTTGTTTTTTCCAAGAAAATTTTAAGAGTTTTTAGGCCATTTTTCTGGACCGTAAATTGATTCATTTTAATATCCATATTTTTTATTTGAAATGAAGCAATTACGCTTAATTGCAAAAATGAAATAAAATCATGTTCTTGTAATTCACTTTTGAGATAACTCAAAGAAAAAATTCACTTTTTCCGATACCAATGTGAAATAATGTACAATGACCGTTCACATTGAATGTTCATAAAACACATAAGTGAAGAATACAATATCATCATATAAATTTATTTAATTATTTTTGACTACGATTAAAACTACATTCCATGTAGTGCTTACGATAATAATTTCATGGAAAACATCAAATTAATTAAACCCCATAAATTTACAGGCTTCCAGAACGCAGAGCGGAGCAAAGCGACGATCTGCGGCCTTGGTTTTTTTTTTCATTGTTGTTGATGTTATTTAAAATTCTCCTCGCTAACGAACTTTTAAACTATGTAAAGGTTTGATCGGTGACCGTGAAAACTGATGAAACTGACGTGTCATCACCAGTTTTCAATTGGTTTAATGAACGTTTTGCATATACACAATATAGCCAAATCATTGCTTTTAGTGTCAGTTTTTGATTGCGTGTCTGAACGAAAACAAAAACAAAAACAAGAAGAAACAACGCACAAAATGCTACCTGCGCGTGTGCTTGGCTGGCTGTCAGCATAATTGCGGCCAAAAAGAAAAATAAAATAGAAGAAAAGCCGCGCGAAATCGATATAATTGCACGCCGATCGCCGAAATTGTTTTCACAATTAACATAAAGAAAGAAAAAAAGCGGTGCTTTTATGTCTAAAATGAAACAATAATAGAAGCCAATGATGGTTTTTGAACGACACAATGCACGCGACTCATCATTGCTTTGAAACCTCTTCTATTTTCCTTTAGTTCTCTATTCCATAATGATCACCTTGCGCATAAAAATGCTAAATAGCCACTCATTTCGGTCAATTTCACACAATTGCAATCACAATCTGGCTTACCAAAGCCATGCGTTGCCACGGCGGCCACTTAAACATTAAGCGGCTGCATAACGAATCAATTTGAAAATAAAAAACACTCGCTGCCGTCACGTCGTAACAATGAAAAATTGTTCGCGTCTCACAGCAGCAATGAAACACACATTTTGTGAGAGATGAACGATAAACAGCTTTGTATCATTAGTTGATGGACAATTAAACTGCCCAATCAGCGGAATAAAAGCAAAGATTTAGCAATCAGAGAAGAGAAGAAAAACACAATAATAATTGTTTACAGCAGTAAATAGCATCGTTTATTTTACAATTTCATTGTAGGATTTTTCAATTTTGTGTGTTTGTAACTTCTCTTTGACTTCTTTCACTTCAAATCAAATCGAAGTTGAACAAAAAAAAACAAAGAGCAGAAAAAGCACACCGAATGAAAACTTCCGTATATAGTTGAGTAGTTCAGTTTGGACGGTTTATCAATCATCGCACGGCGTACGAAATGTAAATAACCAAGCCAAACCGAATCAAAATACATCGCAACTTAAATTGCAGGCATAGATTGGCTGGAAATTTGTACATAAATGGGCATTGAGTACGTGCGTCCGCTCGACTGCGCTCACATAAAATACGATCATCGTTTTGTGAGCATGTGTGCGCGAACGCATGGCATTCATGAAAACCACATCGATTCCTGAATATTCTTGGCTGTTTATTGTTTGTTTCTATTCCTTCATTCGTTCAATTAAAATTCCGGAAAGGGTTTTCGAGTAAGGCTCAACGGGTTTCGCTCGTTTGCCCGTACATTGTGCTACACGTAAATCACACGGTATACAACAAGGCTATGTATACAAGTATATCCAATAAAACAATAAATGCACAAATAATGCGATAAATATTGAGTACGGCGCAGCACAGGAATTTAGCATTAAATTCAACAGCACACGGTGTATTTATGTATATAAACAAAACATGCCACAAACATTCACGGGGAAAGAATGCCATGCGAAAGCCAAAAGTTAGCATTCGTGCACACCGCATTAAAAAAAAAAGCTGTGAAATGTGCACAAAACCCGAATCTAAACGAAAATGAAAAAGAAAACAAAATCAGCCAAAACAAAAGCGAAATCATTTCAGCGCTACAGTACGGATTTTTCTTTTGATTCAGGTAAATCAGCATACATTGAGTATCTTTTGAGGTTCACGACACACATCATGATAGTGTGTGAGTAATTACATAACGAAATACTGGCCCCGGATATTTGTACATACAGAATAGCAAATATAATCATCTGACTGAAGGCTACTCAGGGCGACGGCACACACACATTCTGCCTGAAACACCAACAACAAAAACAGAAACGAAATCAAATTGTGTGCTCTAAGCAACTGCAAACGACTGAAAATGAAATTATGTCAAGTGTTTCTGGTCGTGAATTAGTCAGCATTATCGATTGTTGTTGTTGTTGTTGTTACAAAGTTGCCTATTTATCGTATTGTGTTTTTTTGCGCATTTATCGGCTGATTTACAAAATGTAGTGCATGCTGTCGTGTACATATTTTCTCTTCACAACACAACACATGCCACAGTTGGCGCAACAATTGAATGGTCGCGAATGAGTTTGTTTTCAGTGCCTGCATACTTAAATGAAGGTGAATTCCTGTCTGTTTTCTGTTTACGCACTAGTTCAGTAAAGCTCCTTCACACTCGTCACATTCATTGCATACGTTAAGTTTTTTTTTCCCTATTTTTTTGTGTTCACATTGCGTCTCTCGGTATTTCTTTCAATCGTGAGCTTCCAACGATGACGTTTATCAAGCCGTCGAAACAAAAAAAAAAAGAAGTTATAAGCGTTCATTTAGCGTGATTACGCTACTTGAAACTTCAATCGCTCATCAAAATGCATCACGATGTGAAAATGATTGTTTTTAATAAAATAAATCAGTATGTTCGAACGATTGAACGCTCACACATCCGTCCACATCAATATGCACTTGAAGTGTAATTTGTTGTTCCATTGAATTATATATGTTGTGAAATTTAAGCAATTTTTTATTGGAATATTTACACAAATAATTCATAAAACGTGCTCGTTAATTGATTGGTGCGTGCATAATTGTCAGGGCTACAGATCACCATGTACAATCAAAACAAAGGTATTTTCTATGCGAGTGTGTTACACATATAGGACAAATTCATAAAATTACTTGAACGAAACATGTGTGTAACATTGATCGAAAATACTAATTTTGAAACTGAGAAAAAAAAATGCGTTTAAATCGTGGGCTCGGTCAAATCGGCCTAACATAAATGAGTGCATACTGCACACCTTTCATGCTAATCACACAAAACACACTTTTTTGCGCTAGCTGTGGTCGGTCGCTAGGCTATCGAGCGACGCTAGCTTGTTTTTTTTTCTTCGTTCAATCAAGCGACAAACAAACTTAACTAACGCACATTCTCTTTATCCGTTTGTCATCGGTTCGCTTAACATTCCACACTCATACAAGTGTGTATGAGCATGATCGGACCCGCACTTGTGCACGAAAGACGCGCGTAATTTGGCTTGTGGCCAAATAAATGAATGATGCGAATTGAATTAGCATGGAAAATATTTCTGTATGAATTATCATGTAAATGGGCATGCTAAACGTTATGTTTAAATGTGAAATTGGTTTTAATGGGTTATTTATGATGGTTGTTCGTGATTGCGCGTGCACACTGCACACACTGTTTTTGTATTTGCAATGATCGGAATTGGAATTTGATTATTATTTTTTATTGTGTTTGGTGTGTGTATATGTATGTATGTATTCGATTTTTTTTTCCTTTTTCTCAATTTTCGATAATGCTGATATTAAATTCTGTAACTGTTCCCAGACAGGTTTTTGGTATTTAAAAAAAACGACACAAATCGTGTATAAATTTCGTTTCGAGTTTTTTTATAATTCACTTCTTTCTTCTTTCTTCTTTCTTTCTCACTGGTTATTTTTCGATATCATTTTTTTCTACGTTTTCTTTTGTAATATTTTGTGGTCCATTTGTCTTGAAAAATAAAATGTTTTACCATGTAAAACGAACTTTTCCGCACATTTTCGGTAGAATGTAAAATATAGATCACTTGGATGGAATGTTGCAATTGTTAAGTGATGTTACCATAACCATGAAGGACCCGGATGGTATTTATGTTCATCTTCGTTCCAAGACCTTTCATATGATACCCATATTGACTATACTTATGTAGAAATGGTATGAAGTCCATCATGCTCATCATGATGGACGGATATAGTGTCCATGTCCACGCCCATTTTAAAACCTTTCATATGACACCCATATGACATATGTCAACTATTTATATAAAAAAAATGCTGTTAAGTGGTGTTAACATAACCGTGATGGACCGGGATGGTGTTCATGTTCATCTCCGTTCAAAGACCTTTCATATGATACCCATATTGACTATACTATGTAAAAATGGTATGAAGTCCATCGTGGTCGACCATCGTGTTATAACACCATTTAACATCACTTACCATGGGAAAATCGTGTAAAAACAGTAAAAAAAAATAAAAAGTTTAAAAAAAAAAATAGAAAAAAAGTCAATCATGGTCGGCCATCGTGTTATAAATCATTTAACACGGATTAACATGATAAAATCGTGTTAAAACAAATCAAAAATCCGTTCTATGATAACAAGAAATAAAATTGTTTTCAAAAAAATCCAAGGGTCCCCCCTTGGGTGAAATTCTATGACATCCGAAAATTACCAGATGAACTAGTCCAATTTGGCCCAACTTTTGATACATCCAAGATATTTACTAATTG